CAGTGATCAACAATCCAATGTCATCAATGCAAAGTGAAAACATTGATCCATATCATCTCTAGGATACGCTTTATTTTTTTTAATTCACTGTCAAACAGCAGCAGGCAGATGGCAAACAGCCAAGAGAAAGGCGATGACGATAATGTTATTCAAATCAGCAGTGTGGAAATATTATCAATTACTGTGAAAATAGGGGTCAATAGACTAAGCACGTCATATGTAAACAATGCCACTATGAGAAAAAACATTACATAACGTTAGATGCCTGGCCAGCATCTCACTCCACTAACTTCTGACAGTAACATTAGCTGCTATGAGTAGAAGAAAACTCGGAGCGCCCGTCATGGGCAGCCCACTCTGACATCTCTCCACTTAGTGCATGTATAGGTCCAGTTTGTGCATGTGTGTGTTCGGACCTGTGTGTAACTGACAGAGTGAAAAAAAAAAAAATTTGAATTTCCCCTCGGGGATTAATAAAGTATATAAAATTTAAAAAAAAATAAATATATGTATCGATTGCAGGCCCCTCAATCTCATCGAATCAAAATTGTATCATGGCAGACTTTGTGATATCTGCAAGTACAGTTGTATAGTTGTCCAAAGAGTCGATATAATATCACATCATGATGAAACTAGTGATATATACCCCCACACTGTTCTGAGGAGAAACTAGAAATAAGACACTGATTAAAATTGAAATGAATATTAGATGGTAGAACGTCACAAAAGGTGCCGCCATAATGACTACATTGACCTTTTGGTAATTAGCACCGATAGGATGTTTTATAAACTTCACCATTAAAGGCATAACTTGGCTCTGATAATGGTAAATAGCTGTGCAGCCTCCACTGTCCTACAGAGATGGACAGCCTCGACCAAAGCTAAAGAGGGGGGTGTTGGGTTAAATGATCAGTGGGTAGAGCACCAGAGAAATCAGCTCCCTTCTGCTGTGTGACTGTGTCTGAGTGTACCAACTTCAGTTTAAGGCTGAGCACAACAGCAGGACCGGCACCGTATGCGAAAGTCATGGCAAAAGTCCTTGACTGAGTAGGCCTATATGCTGCCCCTTCCTGTTTCAACTTAGAAGTTGTCATTTCAAATGAAAAGCCCTCTAGCGTTTCATACATGGTCCAGCCTTATACTAGGTTTTTACCTTGTCTTGTTGGATTAAGTTCCTGTTTTGTACTGTAAACAGTATTGAAAACTCTGCCTGGTTATTTAAGGATTTGGTTTTTCAACATCAAGGCTTGTCAGTGCAATGTGACTGTCAGTTACCTACTTTTGTACTACTACTTTTCTCTGTAAATCCGCAGCAGGTTTAAAGTCTCTGTTAGCTGATTTTCTACCTGGAGGGAATACGGGAAGTCAATCTAAAAAACTGATTGACTAGAGGAATGTGAAATTACTGCAGTTTCCATTCACCACTGTCCTCCTCTCACCCGTGTTTTTAAAGATTTTCTTCAGTATATATATATGGTCTGGAGGACAAACCGCGGCTCCCATCAACTGTGTTTGTGAATCCTGCTGCCGTCCATCAGTCAGAAGCTTACAGTAAACAGGCAGGCGGGTGGAGATAAACGGCTAGAGGTCAATAGCTCTTAATGGCCTGCTGTCTTATCCACTGCAGCATCTGTTGGTGCACTGTGGGTAAACACTGATAACAACAGTGTTCGTTCTCACAGTCCTCACAGCCTCCACCCTTTCCTTCTCTCTGCCTCTTTGGATTTACCTATTCTCTTCTTCAGGTTCGTCTCTCTGGTTCCATTATATTGGCAAGTGAATTTTAAGCAAACTTTATAAATGTTGTGAAAAAATAAATCTGAGTGAGGCGCATTTCCATCAACCAGTTTGGACAGAATGAACATGATATCTCAAGAATGCCTTGAGGGAATTCCTTAAATTTGACACACATGTCCCCTTGAACTTAACGAACTGATTTGAATTTAGTGGTGAAAGGTCACTATAAACTTACAAAACATGTTTTTGTCCCAAACCTAAGAATTTCTATTCAAATTTTGACAATATTTCACACAAATGTCTAATAGGGTAAAATGATAACGTAATTAAAGGGCCAGTGTGTAATATTTGGCATGGTTTATTGTCAATCTGAATCTGAATCTGAATCTGAATATTCTACCCATTAATATGATTATACAAGTGTATGATCGCTATAAAATAAAATTCGTTTGGTTTTCGTAGCCTTATAATTATGCTTTTATATATATACAGTACAGGCCAAAAGTTTGGACACACCTTCTCATTCAATGCGTTTTCTTTATTTTCATGACTATTTACATTTTAGATTCTCACTGAAGGCATCAAAACTATGAATGAATACATGTGGAGTTATGTACTTAACAAAAAAAGGTGAAATAACTGAAAACATGTTTTATATTCTAGTTTCTTCAAAATAGCCACCCTTTGCTCTGATTACTGCTTTGCACACTCTTGGCATTCTCTCCATGAGCTTCAAGAGGTAGTCACCTGAAATGGTTTCCACTTCACAGGTGTGCCTTATCAGGGTTAATTAGTGGAATTTCTTGCTTTATCAATGGGGTTGGGACCATCAGTTGTGTTGTGCAGAAGTCAGGTTAATACACAGCCGACAGCCCTATTGGACAACTGTTAAAATTCATATTATGGCAAGAACCAATCAGCTAACTAAAGAAAAACGAGTGGCCATCATTACTTTAAGAAATGAAGGTCAGTCAGTCCGG